CCCGGGCCACTCGCGGCCGCCTGGGGAGGGGGACAGCGGGGACACAAAAGAGACCTTCAGTGGGGGGCGCCGGCTGGGAGCGGCCAGGACGGCCCAGGCACGCCCCGCACCCCGGCACCCCCAGCCTCGGCTGGGCGGGTGGGCCCGGGGGCAGCGGGACGGGAGCGGGAGGCAGCGGGGAAGGAGCGGGGCACGAGGGAGAGACCGGGGGACACCAGGGAAGGACCGGGAGACATCGAGGAAGAAGCAGAGGACACGAGATTAGGAGCAGGGGACATCAAGGAAGGAGGAGGGGACACCAGAGAAGGACCAAGGGGCACCAGAGAAGGAGCAGGGGTCATCAAGGAAGGAGCAGGGGACACCAGAGAAGGACCAGGGGACACCAGAGAAGGACCAGAGTCGCCAGGGGGGGAGCAAGGGACACCAGGGAAGGAGCAGGGTCACCAGACGAGCCAGGGCAAACCAGGGCACACAAGGGAGAGAGCAGGGCACGCTAGGGAAGGACCAGGGGACAGCAGGGAAGGAGCCATCTGAGAGCGATGTGCTGGGGGGAACGGGGACACATTGGCGGCACTTGCCAGAGGCCACTTTTTGACGCATTTTGGGGGACGTTTTCTTGCTTTGTTCTGTCTTTGGACCGTCCCCGCACGAATTTCGCTGGATCGGCCCCCGCGGTCGCAGGCAAGGGCTCTCCGTAAGCGACGCGAGGCCGCGCTGGGTGGTGTCCCCAGGGACCCCGCCGGGCCATTTCGGCTGAGAGCCCCCCCGGCGCCCCCTCGCCCGCCCGCCCGGCACGCGTGCGCACGGCCGCGCACGGCTGACATGATGGATTGAGCCCGGGCTGCGGCCGGGCAGAGGCAGAAAAATCCCGTCCCCTTTGTAAACCCGAACTCCTTCTTCCCCCGGATTCCTCCGGAGTTAAAGTATAACCGGCGCCATTCACTCCCTTCACTTTGCACTATAAAGGAAGTCGCAGGTCAGCTCCCCTATTTTAATTCTGTGATGAATTAAATTCCCTCACCCAACGTTTCTCGTCCCTTTTATTTGTCCTCAGTAGAAAGAACCTGAGACATTGGAGATCCTTTTTAGGGGTTTCTCTTCTTTTTCTAGCCCGCAAACTTATGGCGCTCCCCTCCCCGCCCCCCTGGCCCCCCCATCAGGCTGCTCAGACTGAGAACGCACGGTCCCCTTAGGGCAGACGTTTTGGGGCAGGGTGCTGTTACCTTTCCCCTTGCTGCTCCCGAAACTTCGCTGCGCTCGTTGCAAGATAGAAAGTCGTCTGCAATTTTGTTGCGGCTTTTTAATATTCCCTGTTCTTATTTTTCTTGTCGGATAGGGGTTTTCTCCGACATTTTTAGTTATTTTGTAAATTAGCACATACTTCACCTGACAATGTAAGTCTGTAACTCAACGTATCTTAAGAGTTCATTGTATTTCTTCAGGGTTTAAGCCTATTAACATACCAGAGAAGAGTAGCTAGAAATTTTTGAAGTGTCCGATAATTATCATTCTCCAGCCTATACTTAAGCAATACTACCAGAGTACTGCTTTCTCCCGCAGCAACCGGTACCGCCAAGTACCGCTGATATGTTTTCTAAAATTCACCGGGAAACACATCTGTGTAACTCCGAATAACCTCAGCGTGCTGCGATCCGCGGCCGCTGTCGACGGTTTATCCCCTGTCACAAACCGCCGCCGTCCTTTTCGTCCCTGAACAAAAGCCTGGGGTGATCTGCGAAGCTGATGGAAACGGGAAAAGAGCTATTTTCCTCTCCTGGAAAATTTTAGTAAAAAAATATCCATGGAAATGGACGGTGGCGATTCAGATGGGTTTAAATGCGCTGTGATAATCTTGACGAGTCTTGAAAGTATTTTTGTGCAAAATAACTCTGTCGCTCGTTTTCCACTTCTATCATCTACATTTTCAGGAGCGGTCTGGACTGAGGACTTTTGTTAGCACAACACTGCCTTAAGCGTAGCTTTTCATGTGCCTTGTAAAATATAGTTCCCAAAAGAATACGCAGAATCTTAAGAAAGAATATTGCTGTTAAGCTGTTAAAAGCCTTATTTCTTTTCTGAAATACCAACTGCTTGTGAACTCTGCTTGAACCTAAAAAGGAGGCTATGGGCCATAAATCACATGGACAATGCTCAACTGTTTGGTGGCTCATCTTTAGATCTTAAAAAGGGAGAGAGGGAGAGAAAGAGGGAGAGAGAGACCTTTCCAGGTTTTGATTTTCCACGAGTGCAAGGCCCGGGGGTGATGTTTTTATAGGTAACACCAAAGCAGGGGCTCAACACTTGGTGGTTTGGCCAGAAACAGCATCCAGGAAAAGAAAAGAAAGAAAGAAAAAAAAAAAAAAAAAGAAGTGACATCCAAATGGCGAGGCCGAGCCGTGGGAGGTGGGCTCGGAGGCACCGAGGGTAGGACACCGCAAAGTATCCATGTCTATGTTTCAGATTTCCCTTCCTCCTCTCCAGAAAGGTTAACCTCATCTGAACTGTTAGGCGTTGCACACGATAATGGGGGTCTGTGTCCCGCCACTGGTTCCAAGTGCTTTTGGAGGTTGCCGACCCTCTCACGGCTCTATCTGGGGAGCAGCCGGGAGCCCACGCGTCCACCCCGCGCGTGTGCGCGGAGCGCGACCGGCCCACGCTGACACCGGCCCGGCGCTGCCAGCCGCTTTCCTCCCGACACTTTCGTATTAAGCAGTTCTCTACTAAAACTTCCACTACACTTAATTCTGCTTAGGATCAATATCTAATATGATACCGAATAAATAAGAGGCGGTGAGAGCGGCCAGCGGAGCGGTTATTAAAGCAGCCGGAGCTCTCAGGGTGCATATCAATGCACCTGTCATTGCGGTTTGTAACAAAATTTATGACTGCTAGCGCCGTGGCAGTAAACGCTCCGGCCAGGAATGAAAAGGAAAACACTTCCCAAGCCCCGGCACTTTCAGAAGTGCAAAGCAGCCGGCGCGTAGGAGGGAGCCC